TATTTACTGGTTCTCTGAACTACTCAAAATTTCTGCTACTGGTTCTCCAGAACTGGTCAAAACCTGGTGAATACCACCTGTGTGTCAGATCAATTATTCCAGTTGGTGGGATCTAGGAGGAGGGCCTTCTCTGCTGTTGCTCCTACTCTCTGGAACATCTTACCCCTCCTCTCCGAATGTGAGGTTGGCCCCAACCCTCTTATCCTTTCATAAGAGTCTGAAGATGTGGATCTGAAAGTCAGCTTGGGGTCCAAGTGGGGGAACAGAACGGTGGAGGTTGATTGAGTGACCACAATCCCAGCTCACCCCACTCTGTCCCTGTCTTCCCTACATGTCCTTAGATTTTTAATTTTTGGTTTTAATTTATTTATGTTTTAATGTGTATGCATAGATACATTTTTATGAGTGTAAGCTGGCCAGAGTTACCCTATGGTAAGATGGATGGCCAATAAATTTTATAAATGAATGAATGAATGAATGAATGAATGAATGAATGAATGAATGAATAAATAAATAAATAAATAAAATTTATGATTTCCATAGTCTTAAAGAGAATTTTTTAATTAAAATGAAGTATCATATTGCATTTTTTCTGTACATCACCAGAAAAATTGGCTAGTATGTATAGAGGTTCTTCAAATGTACATTGGAAATGTAAACAACAAGAGACATTTTATCATGCTTAATGCTCATGTAAAAATGCACAAATATTTTAGACTCAATTATATATAATAATACAGAAGATTTTAAAAACTCATTTATAATTGAAACCAGAGACATTTCTTTTTAAATTGATGGAAATGCAGTTAGAATAAAAGTATGGAACTTTGCACTTACATACAAATGCGTTAACACTATTATATGCACAAAGCTGAAAAGATTCAAAAATGAAGGAATGGATGGTGAAGCTAATGGAATTTGTTGAGATGGCCAAATTGATTGCATTGAGTAGAAAAATTAGATTAATTGGAAGCTACTTGTTTGCATTTCCTTTCCTTTCTTTTCCTTTCCTATTTTCTTTTAGCTTTCTCTTTGATTTCTTTTTCTTTTTTCTTACTTTATATTAATTTGTATTAGTTGTTATTCTATTAATATCCTGTCTGTCTATATCCATCTATGATATCTATCTATTCTCTCTCTGCCTTTTCTTTTCTCAATCTAATTCTAACCAAATCTAACAAGATGGTTACCATCAGAAATAAATATAAGCTCCCATCTCCTGGAAAAAGGAGATTGGGGAAGCTGGCATGACAGTAGAACTGGTGAGAAGCATCTAGGAGCCCAAGGAGAAAACTGGCTGGATATAAGCAAAGATTGAGATGCAGTACCCAGAAAAGCCAATAGGGGATTGGGCTGCCTATAAAGGGACCAATATGCCCAATCCAGAGGAGGGAAATTGTCCAATTATATCCTTCACTGAAGGGACGCAGTGGCTCAGTGGCTAAGACGCTGAGCTTGTTAATCAGAAAGGTCGGCAGTTTGGCGGTTTGAATCCCTAGCGCTGCATAATGGAGTGAGCTCCCGTTACTTGTCCCAGCTTATGCCAACCTAGCAGTTTGAAAGCATGTAAAAATGCAAGTAGAAAAAATAGGGACCACCTTTGTTGGGAAGGTAACAGGGTTCCATGCGCCTTCGGCGTTTAGTCATGCCAGTCACATGATCACGGAGACGTCTTCCAGACAGCGCTGGCCCTTCGGCTTTGAAAAGGAGATGAGCATCGCCTCCTAGAGTCGGGAACGACTAGCACATATGTGCAATGGGAACCTTTACCTTTATCCTTCACTGAAGTTCCATGACAGATTTTGGGCATGCCTTTTGAAAAGGAGGAGGGAGAACTAAGTTCAGAGGAGAACTCCTAGGCTGGGGAGGGATCTGGAAACCATTTCCTGTGAGGAATGATTAAGGGAGCTAAACTATAAATACCTCCTAGGTTCTCACATACTCAGGTTGAAGATTGGGCAGGGTCCTTTCCAGTTCACACACTGTACAATTCTATCACTCGGGATCCATTCAATCCATGGCTGATCAGGAAGACTTTTTCTGAGAATCCTCATCACTGACAGAGACCATTTCATCCCCTTGATCTCCAGCAGCCAGGGAAGGTGATTCATAAAGAATTGAAGAAATTCTACCTATTTGCCCCCTTCAGGTTTGCTTGGCAAGACACCTTCTTGGGACCTGTGGGGCATCCTCGACCTGGCCAGCCATGCTGATCCTGACCTGCTCTTCCAAGCTGCAGCTGCTGGAGAGAGTGTTGCGAAAGGGGCTCCCCGAAACAATGCTGGTAATCACCTGTTCCGTGTTCCTCTTCTCTTTGTGTAAATATAAGAGCTGATGTTTCCCCATTTATGGAGAATTTGGAGAAAACTGCACCTGTTAAACTTCTAAATGCATAATAATGTATGATGCCAGTCTTGGAGTCATTTCACATTCAAGTCTACTTTTCCTTTCGTCACAACTGCAAATGCAAAGCCAATGATGTTTAAAATATAAGTGTACCCGAAATACTGCAAACAAGATAATTTATCTTTGCTGATTACTTCTGCTACAGAAAATCCAAAAATCACCTTGACTTTCAGTGAAACAGTGAATTCCTACTATTTATCCATCATAGAATTTGGCTCTAAACACACTGAATCAGCTAATCGGAGACAGTTTTTACCAACAGAGAAAAATTCCTACATCATCGCACCTATTGTAGCATTTGGCCCTCCAAAGACTTTGGGTGGTTCTGAATCAGCCAATCAGAGTTGGCTGACTTCTGCACCCAGATCCAAGCAGAATCTCTCCTGCACTAGGTCTTCCTGACTTTCTTTTTAATTGAAGGTCTGTGGGGCAGTGATGCACATCAACCGTGGAAACCCAGCTCAACATGAAGTCGTGGTGGACTCTTGGCCAGAATTTAAAGCTGTTCTTACCCGACCACAGAAGGAGGTAGGAAAGTACAACAGAAAGTGGGTTTTTCTCACAGCCCCCTGACGAAAAATGGGAGGGAAAAACACAAGACACATCTATATCTGGGGCACAAAAGCCATTCAGGAGGCCTTCGTGGGTGCTATGGAAGTTCTCCTTGCCTCCTTTTTCTATAGCCCTCTTCCAAGTGAGCCTGGCCTCATGAGCTCTTCCACATGGTCTCTGCCATCTTTTCTATTCTTGCTGCTCTGAGTGTCTTTGTGCCTCTTCCTGTAGGTGGTGAAGGACAACAGGGATTATTATGCCAACCTGCATGCTGCTTTCTATCGGGAGGAAGATGCCTGCAGAACCCTCCTGGAAAACAAAGATGCCGTAGACTGGGACAAAGCTTTCCAGCTGCAAGGCAAGGCCAGGCTCTGGCAATTTCTTATCCACCCCTTAGGAGATTTTGGAAAGTGCCAAAAACTTGGTTGTTCCCCCAACATTTACGTTATGGAGCCCTGTATAGCTTAGTTTAGTTTTGTTGAGTTGAAGACAGAGTTTCTTTTTCTGGTCAGATGTGCTTGTCTTTATTTATTTGTAAACCACCCAGATTTGTGAAGAAATTAGGCAATCTTAAAATTGCATTAAATAAATATGTACAAATCTCTCTCCCTCTCTCCACACTCATATACATGCACACATAGATAAATGCACAATATGGACAATTAAACATATAGTTTAGGAAATATCCTCTGTTATTATTTCAAATAATCCTAAATTGAGATTAATTTTGCAATAAATGCGTAAATGGGGAGAATCACACCAGGAAAATGTTCAGATTTCTTTACATTTTGGTTTAGATGCTATGCTGCCTACTGGAATTTTGGGGTCCAATGAGTATAATAGTGTTAGTGCAAACAAAATTTTTAGATAATCTTCTCAACTAAATTGAACAGATTAAATCATTTAGGAAATTTGTCTAATTTCTTAATTTTTGCGAAAGTCAATATAAAGGCATTCTATTCTATCATTTACCAATCAAAGCATCAGTCACATTGCCTTATGAGAAATACAAACTCTATTCTTGGTGTTCTTTAGGCCAATGTCTTATTTTTCTAACTACACAACATAGGAGTAAATCAAATGATGCATAAAATTGGTAACCCCGGATATGTCATCTTCCTTTTGGCCTCCACATATAGTAAGACTGCCATTTGATCTTTAAACTCACGAGAAGTTGGTATCATGAAAATTCCTTGTGCTCTGTTATTTTATGTTCTTGTCAGATAATGCAATCCAGAGTTTGTTATGATGGGTGACATTTGGCCTGGTGTGCTAGAGCAGTGGCCCTTCTATTCTATATGCCTCTAGCCAAAGAGGAGAAATCTATAAGCTTATGCAACACTCCATTCTAGCCATCACCACCATTTCCCTATGGCTGGTGAATGTCTCTGTGCCTCCCAGTTGCAGACTATTAGGAGTAGAGCAGAGGTGGTATTCTGCCAGTTTGCCCCAGTTCGGGCGAACAGGTAGTGGTGGCAGTGGGAGGCTCCACCCACCCACCCAGACATCATCATAGATGATCTGCACATGCGCAGAAGATTCCGCATATATGCAGAAGCCCCCATGCTCCCGGTTCCAAATCAGTAGCGAAGATGATAGCACTTCATGCCTGGAGTACAGAGAAGATAAGATTTCACTCTGAATCTCAGGCTTTTTTCTTGTGTCATGTTCATTCTATGTAGGTCTCCAAGATGGGCTCTATCAGGCTGTGAAAGTCATGGCAGAGGCTAGAAGTGTCCACATGGAGCCCCATTTTTACCAGGCAATGCTGAACCCAGATGCAGCCACGTTATGTCAGAACCAGTGAGTGATTGTACCCTGTTTCTAAGGGAACTGTTGGGGGGGGGGTCTATTAATTTGATTCCATGTAATTATCTGGATCTCAGTAATGAACTCAAGGGCCTTTGGTTTTTCTATAAGTAAACCTAGCCTCTGTATAAAACTAGGAATAAGTTGTTTCTCCTATTTGTAAAAATGAGGCAGGTTTACAAATAAGGTCCCTGTTTACCTGCCAACTTGGAAGATGTGGAATGAACAATGGTTAACACACAGTTGGAAAAATTCCCTGAACGCAACTGCTTCATTGGCTTTTGTAAAAGAAAATGGTTTTGTGAATATTAAAGGAGATTTAAAATAAAGCAAAACACAAAAAAAGATCCCAAATGGATTAGTGCTGTTTCAAAGGACTGTTAAGGAGACATTTCAGAATAACTGTAGTATTTCTACTACTGGGTAACTCTGAGATCATGGTTTCCCTTGATGTATCCTACCAGGCTTTTTTCAAACATGGTGGGATTCTCTCCTTTTGTTCCACCTTCACTACTATCTGCTCTTTCCTTTCAGGCTCAGAAGTGACCCCCTCCACTTGGGGACGCTCAATCCATCCCATGCAGCCCTACTCAATGACACTTATGAATTTGGAGGCAATGATCGGAGCCTGCGCTACCTCAGGAGCCTGATTGAGGACTTCCCAAATGCTTGCCTCCTAGATCAGAAAGGGCAGCTGGTTGCCTGGAGCCTAAGTGATGCCCTTGGGTGTCTGACCCATGGCTATGCACTTCCTGAGTTCCGGGGAAAGGGTTATATGAAAACAGTGATGCAGGCTTTAGCCAGAAAATTGCATACTAAAGATTTTGCCTTGTATACGAGAGTTCGGTCAGAGAACGAGATCTCCAAGCAACATTTAAGGGGCCAGGGTTTTCATCTCTTGCCTTGGACAAAGTATGTCCTTTTTTTCCATTCCAAATCACATGAAACAGCAGGGGCAGCATTCAAGTTTCTTTAGATGGGGAGGTTGGAGGTAACGTTCACACAGAGATGTAAGGAACTGTGTCTGGATATATTCAAGTTTAAGTCAGAAAAGGATTACAAAAACCAGGAATAGCTATAAATGAATAACTGTGCATTCTAAAATACAATCCTTGTGACCTTTAATAGCCCATAGATATTCCTTAGCATTCATTTTACACCATATCTGGATCAAGGGTGGGATTCAAAAATTTCAGCATACGGGTTCTCTACCCAGTTGCTGGCTGGGCGTGGCCATGGAGGGCATGACATAGTCAGCCTCCTGCACCATGGCGGCAGCAGGGAGGGAGGAGTTTTTTACCTTCCTCAGACTCCGGAGGCTTTCCTCGAGCCTCTGGGAAGGAGAAAACTGCCTCCTCTGGGCTCCAGAGGGAGGCCCGTTTCCCCCCTCCCCGAGCTTCCGCATGGGCCCTGTACTTACCTTGCATCCAAAACAGGCCACGTGGAAACTCCTGGGAGGGGCAGGAGGGGCCAGGCAGGGGTGGGATTTGGAGGTTCTCCAAACTGGCCATAACGTTAGGTACAGGTTCTCCCGAGCCCAGGCGAACCCATAGTAGCCCACCCCTGATTTGGATCCAGTACTTTGGCCCTAAATAACTTTTTATTTTAAAGAGAGCTCTTCCACCCCACCACTGCTTTGAGCCTCTTGTCCTGTGATCATCTTCACTTCTGGCAATTTCAAAAGGCTGAGAATAGACCAATGAGTCCCTGCGGCAATTACTGCTCCAATAGCTAACTAGTAGGATAATATAAAGTATGTCCTTCAAAACGTTCCATATCCCAAGCACCATCTTTTGAGGATTCTGCCACTCTTAGAGGAAGAAAGAAGATTGCTAGTGAGAATTATTGTGAGAGCCAGTTTGATCTCTTGGTTAAGATGCCAGGCTAGAAAGAGGAAGATTGTGAGTTCAAGTTCCATCTTAGCCATGAAAGTCAGCAGGGTGACTTTGGGCCAATCACTGTCTCTCAAGCCAATCCACCTCACAGGGTTATTCTTGTGGGGAAAATAGGAAGAGGAAGGTGTGGATATGTTCACCACCTTGAGTTTTTTGTAGAATAATAAAGGAGGCAGGATACAAATAAATAAATTAGTATTGCGCTGTCATTCCCAATGTCTAAGAATCAGGTGTAAAAAATGTCTATATATTTGGGTTTTCTTCCTACATTATAACTAACATTAAAAACAAATCCAGGTACAAGTTGTGTCAACTGGGAAATGTCTCTGAAAGCTTCATGAAACTGTAGTAGTTCAACATAAGCTGGGACAATAATACTTGGTTTTTGCTAGTTATCATAGGGAAACATCTGGGAAGTAGTGTGTCTGTTTGAATTTTTATTTCAGTGCTTCTGTTGGAAGGAACCAGTGTCTTGCACAACACCTGAAAATGCAACAATAAATATTTGACAGGAATCTACAAGTCCGCTAGTATAGGCACTCTTATTCTTAGAAGAAATTCGGTTTTCAATATAGGTCATCAGAACGTCTGTCTATTCTGTGTGTGGATGTTGCTGGATGTTGTCTTTTTAAACTGGTTAATGATAAGTTACATTTTTACACAAACAGGAAATATTGTACCAACCCAGAATGTGCTTATCACTTTAAAAGTCAACTAGGTTGATGGCTTGCATGAACTTCTGCTGACTGAACAAAGCCATACAAAACAAAAGCAATTTACCACAAATAGCTACAATACCTGCCTTAGTCCATGTTAACTTGTCAACCTGAAGCAGCAACAAATTAGCATAAGCGTGCTCTGATATCATAACACATCTCCTACCATGAAAGAGAGTAAGGAAGAATAAAATAGATAGTGATATTGAGTTCCCCTCTTGCAAAATTTACTTTCTCCAGACAAGTGGCAATAGAAATTGAACATCTATTGATAAAAGAAAAACAAAAACACTAAGCCCAGATACATTTGAACTCCAGAAGTGATGCCTCTCAGTTTTATGCAAGAGTCACATACTTGAAAAATAATCCTCAGCTCTAGTGTATTACTTGCAAGGCCAGTTCCAGCAGACCATCATTATGTAGAGAAAAGTCAAGGACTGTGGAGTTCATGAGAAAAGGAATGGTTGACTCCAGAAATAGGTAAATAGTAAATAGTTATAGATAGATATATAGGCAGACTTTTATCTGTAAAGTTTTCATTTATTTATTCATTAGACCTATTTGCCATCCATCTCATCTCGAGGCATCTCTGGCAGCTTACAAACATTAAAAGCCATAACACATTGCAGCAATAAATACTCACAATAACACTAATAAATTACATTTGAACAGATGGGGAGGAAGGTAGCAAGACATATTTTGGTTTTCATGATTTGGGAATGCAAGCAGTTAATTGATCATTAGCAATTTTTCTCTACAATCAACTGTCAATGTACCAAATTAATAAAATTCCTTCAATACATGACAAAGCAAACAACTTTTGGAAGATGGAGACAAAAGGCATCTGTTTGCTACATTCACCATCTTCAATCATAATCACATCATACACTATGAAAACCAGGCAAATCCAATTTTAGTATCTCAGAATGAGATGCAGTACCTGAAATATTGGTTTTTATTTCAGAAAGTAGTACTCTTGCTGCCATCTAGTGACGGAGCATAAAAGACAATCATTTTTTTTAATGCTTCTGCCCATTTATGTACTCTGATTTGATTTCAAGTCAAGAACCTTCCTTGGATCTTTTGTTTTTCTTGAGGTGGACACCTTTGTAAATCCTACATGGCATTACTAACTAGCACATGATCATCAAAGCCATATAAAAATTTCATATAATTTCATTCAAACCATACAGAATCTCGCAGAATCTCAACATCTGCTTATATTAGTCAGATACCTCTTTTATTCTTTTAGGTAGGACTACCAAAACCAGGCTATTAGAGTCCAGACAGCAAAAGACATATAGAAAATAACTTTGTGACATTACCTAATGATTGTCAGAATTGTTGTAACCTAGTTGTTAGCCTTAAATATGGACACTAGAAGGAATGACTTAGTATTGGAGTAAAGGCAGCAAAACCACTGCAAATTGCCATTGAATGCACATTAACTTGTCTTTTCAGCTAGGTAAGGGGGTGTCCACAATACAAGGAATACTATTCCGTTTAAGTGCCTGCTGCTTTATTAATATATAACCGCCAACACAAGCTTCTTAACCAAGGCACTACTGGTAAACAAATAGTACATCTGTAATCAGCCCTGTTGCTGAGTAATCAATGTTCCTGTTGTGTTTGAGGAAAGGCTGGAGGAGGATCTCTCTGAGAATTGTACTCTTAGACCTAACATGCCTAATAGTTCTGCTGAACCAACCACTGCTTTAGATGAAGCAAGATTTCCAGATCAGCATCTTCTTGCTTCTGCAGCAGAGGTGGGTTCCTACCAGTTCGCACCTATTCGGTAGAACCGGTTCGTCAAATCTACCGAACCGGTTAGAAGAGGTTCCACCAATGGACCCGGAAAGCAGGCCACACCTACAGAAGAAGTTCCAAAACTTTTGAAACCCACCACTGGTCCTTGGATTCTACACTATCATGCTCATATTTATAAAACTCAGTGCCTCTGTGAAAGGTAAGGATGACTACTGCGTTTGTGGTGCAATCAGAACATTGCGTGTGTTGAAGTTGTTTTAACGCAAACCAAAGATGCCTTTTAAAAAACAAGTTTACATTCATATTCTTATGCATACCAGTGCTGTGTGTGAGGAAATTTAAGGTGGTTCTGACAAGTTTCGTCGGCATCTTCCCACCCGGCCACATGGGCGGCAAGCCACTCCCATCCGGTCACATGGGCGGCAAGCCACTCCCATCCGGTCACATGGACG